GAAGTCCCCCCCCCCCTCTCTTCTCTTCCTCTTCTCCTCGCTCCCTCCCTCATTCGTCAGCACCTCTCCCTCCTCTCTCCCCCTCTCTCCCCATCTCCGTTCTCAACCTCTTCCTCAGAGGACGCTAGCCAAACATCGCGGCAAGAAGAAGTACTTCGCCTCTTTGGCTCGTGCCGCTCTCTTCATCGAGCGGATATCGCGCATTGATAAGATGGTGAGAGAGGAGGAGGAAGAGGTGGTGGTGGAGGGAGGAGGAGGAGGGGGGGGGTTTGCGAATGTCGGGATGACGGTGTGCGGAACAGGAATGAGGACGGATGAGAGGATCGACGCGGGCAAGGGGAACGAGGACAACAGCGAGAGCAGCGAAGGCTCCAAGTAATGCTGAGGCACTCAAAGTTCGGCCGGAAGGCCGCGGGACCGAGTCGGGGGACTCAGTCAGTCCGGTCGGAGGGAGGAAGAGGCAGAAGGGAGAACTCTGTGTGTGTGTGTCAGTGAAAATCAATATCAACGGATCTGCCTGCCAGAGTCGCGTCCCTTTCATCCACTACTCACAGTGACATTTGCATTTCTTTGTCATAGTACAAGTCTAATATACTCGTACCGTTCAAGTTGTATTCCTTGACTTGATCCCATACGGTACTTTCGTACTGATTTTTAACTTAACTTTCAGTAAAGGGTACTTTCCAACGGTTTCCTTGCGCCCGGCCGGCGGGCCCCGGGCGATCGGGTTCCGAGTTCGCATCCGGAGTCCGGACGACTGAGGCGCTGGCCTATTGACTGGAGTACCCCACCCCACCCCCTGACTGAGCTGCTCCCTACCTGTACCAAATTGTTCCAGTCTCGTTGCCGTACGTTAACACACTACCCTACCCCCTCGGGAAACAGTCGATGGTACCCCTCCTGAAGTCGTTTCCACTACCTTGCGGTTCAAGACCTTTCACCACCCCACCCCCGGACATCCACCCATTGACTTTCGAGTATGAATTCATACTTGACCACCCCTACCTACCCGTTCCCACAATTCTGGACCCTACCCCTCTCTCAAGACCATCAGATAAGAAACCCCCACGCATTTTTTCAAAAGATGCACGCCTGAACGGACAGGGCGGCGGGTGGGAGCAGCGCGTGGGGAGCGGAGATGGGGGGAATGTGGTGGAGGAGAGTAGAGGGTTGAGAGGTGAGATGTAAGGAAGGAATGTCAGCATCGAGATTAGATGCAAAGATGAAACAAGGATTAAGAGAGCATAATGAAAAGGGTAGGGGATGTTCAGCGAGGCAAGCGAAGACAGGATAGATAGGAGCGATTTGATGATTAGTGGTGAAGATCAAGCAGAGTTAGTTTCATTCTGATGTTATCACACAAATGCCCGAAGAAAATCAAAATGAAGTCAGCGCTTTCTTGGCTTCTTGATGTTGTGACAACAATCTTTTTTTGTCTGTCTTGTGAAAGTATTTCCTGCTATGATGATGAAATCCTTTGTCGACAGTTGTCTGGCAAGGCATTTCCTAAATGAATGCTTGGTTGGGTTTGGCGGACATCGTGCATTGAAACAAGGTGAGTGAGGGCTATCTTTTTTTTTTTTTTCATTCTTTCCTCTAGCCTTGTGTTTTCAACGTTGTGAAGTAACAATGCAGATAGTGATGACGTGAAACCGGGACCATGTCAGTCGGGACCATGCGGGTCTGGCAGGACAGCGAGGCGAACAAGGCGGGGGGAAGTGCAAGAGAGTCCAAGGGGGATGTGAGCGTGGAGGAAGCGTTCTCTGCAGCTGAGCAGGGAGATGTAGAGTCCTTGCGTCGATACATTGAGGGAGGAGGAGACGTCGATGCGAGCAACCAGCTGTCTGACCGGCTGCTCCACGTGACGGTGCGGGGAGGGCATGCGATGGCGACGAGGCTGCTGCTGGAGAGCAAGGCTGACATGACGATCCGGAACGCGATCCTGGACACACCACTTCAGATCGCCATGAAAAGGAACAGGAACGATCTTGTCTTCACGCTGATGAAGTTTCAGAAGAAGTTCTACAAGAATGGCTCGAAGCCGCCACACGCCCGCACCCTGAGCGACATCACCAACCGCAAGTCGAGGGAGAACGTGGCGGAGCAAGCTGGAGGAGAGGAGAACCTCCGACCGGATCAGGCGGTCTGCAGGTGAGGAGCTTGCTTCCACCTCCCCCCTCCCTCTCCCTCTTCTCCTCTCTCCCTCTTCTCTTACCTGCTCATTCTGCCGTCCCACACTCCTCCTCCTTTCTCTGAACCGTGCTCCTGCTTCAACTTTCCCTCCCGCATTCACTCCTCCTCTTCTCCTCTAACCCCCCTCCCGTCCCAGTCAGCATCTGACCCCTCCTCAGCTTCTGCAGGGAGTTCATCCCCAAGGCCAACCTGCAGCTGCACGAGCTTCGATGCTGCCGCATGTTCTTCCCCTGCTCCCACTGCGGCGCGTCAGTCGCAGTGCAGGACAAGGAGGAACACCTGGATGTCAGCGACCAGAAGATCTTTGCAGCAGCGCACCAGGGGGATGTGACGAGGCTCGAAGCTCTCAGGAAGCACGGGGCGAACATGTAAGAGCCTGTCCATGCTGGTTCCTCCATGTGCTGACTCCTTCCTCCTCCTTCCTCCCTCCCTCCTCCTCCTCCTCCTCCTCTTCCTCCTCCTCCTCTACTTTCCTTCCTCCCCCCCTCAACATCATCATCACTTGTCCTGTCTTCTTCCCTCCCTCCCCTTCAGACTGGAAGCGAGGGAGAACGGCAACAC